CACTGGTGATGGGGTCCCCTGGCAGGATGGGGTCCCCAGGCTGGGATGGGTCCCCAAGGTCAGGAGGGATCTGCATCCCGCAGGCAGAGTTGGGTCCCCATGAGTGGGATGCGCTCCCCAGCAAGAGGGGTCCCTTGTGTGCTATGGGGGGACACCCATGGGGTCACAGCTCTGGTGAGGCTGGGTCCAGAGCAGGGGCTGTCAGTAGGTCTGTGTATGGGGGGGACTTTTGGTGGGTTTGGGGAGGTCGTGCTGGTGGTTGCAGTTCTTGGTGTCTGTGCTGGGTTCAGGGGACAGCAGGGGCTCTGCTGGGGTGTCTGTGCCAGGTCACAGCAAAGTCTGTGCCAGGGAAGCAAGTCCGAGGCTGTGCAGGAGCTGGTTTGGGGTTAGGGGGTCTGTGCTGAGTCCAAGTGGGAATTATCAGGGTCCATATGGGGTTAATCCCTGCAGGGAGCCTGCTCCAGGGGACACTGTTCCCTCCAAGCAGGGTCACTTTGGGACACAGCTGCTTCAGTCAGGGAATGGCATTGCTGCCCTGGAATGAGTGGGACCAGTGTCATGTCCAGAGCTGTTCACCCCATCCCATGCTCTGTGTCCTCCCCTGGCTCCAGCTCATGGACACCTCAGGGATGCGTTTTCTTGTTTTCTGCAGCACTCACACATGGGGCAAACGGGGGGAGCTTCCCACTGGTGCAGGGGAAGCTGGGGTGTGGGACATGTGTCCCTTGGATGCTATGGGCTGGCAGTGCCTGACCACTGCTGGAGTGGTGGCTCCGTCAGGCACAGTGGCAAGTGGGGGTTCTGTGTCTGTCGGGATCAGATCACAGCATCCCTGAATGGTTTGTCTTGGAAGGGACCTTAAAGCTCCTCCAGCTCCAACCCCTGCCCTGGGCAGGGACACCTTCCACTAGAGCAGGTTGCTCCAAGACCCTGTGTCCAACCTGGCCTTGAACACTGCCAGGGATGGGGCAGCCACAGCTTCTCTGGGCACCCTGTGCCAGCGCCTCAGCACCCTCCCAGGGAAGAGCTTCTGCCTCAGAGCTCATCTCAATCTCCCCTCTGGCAGGTTAAAGCCATTCCCCTTGTCGTGTCCCTCCATCCCTTATCCAAAGCGCCTCTCCAGTGACCACCCATTCCTCTGCCCCACAGGATGAGTTCCACCCCTTCATCGAGGCGCTGCTCCCCCACGTCCGGGCCTTCGCCTACACGTGGTTCAACCTGCAGGCCCGCAAGCGCAAGTACTTCAAGAAGCATGAGAAGAGGATGACGAAGGACGAGGAGAGGGCGGTAAAGGACGAGCTGCTGAGTGAGAAGCCGGAGGTGAAACAGAAATGGGCCTCACGCCTCCTGGCCAAGCTGCGCAAGGACATCCGGCCCGAGTGCCGCGAGGACTTCGTGCTCTCCATCACCGGCAAGAAGCCCTCGTGCTGCGTCCTCTCCAACCCTGACCAGAAGGGGAAGATGCGCCGCATCGACTGCCTGCGGCAGGCAGA